TACTGCTAATTCAACTTGGAATTCAAAAGTTAAACAGAGATTTTTTTCCTCTTTATGATGGGTTATGATACATTCCATTTGGAGGATCTTGCTATAATTGTTTTGATGATACACAAATAGAATAGAATCCATCTCACTTTCCTATAGCTGTCTCTGTTGGCTTTGCAGTGCTAGCAGCTGTAAAAATGTATTTTTGTCATTAAAGTAGATATGACTGAGTACTACAACAACAACAACAACAAAACAGATCTGAATAACATGGTGCCTTTTTATATAGCTTTCTCATTATAGCCACAATTCAAGTATCACTTGATTGCCATGCATTTGAGACAACAGATGAAACTGAACTGGTAGGCTAATATTCTCCTTTACACTGGCTTGACAGTAACACCCTGCCTACTGTGTGGTGAAATACGGTTATGGATGGGTATTGCCAATTTATTACTGTTAGTCCAGGACTGATCAGAAACTCCCCAAATTACTTGTAATCAGATGTTGTTTACATCATAATTATCAAAAATGCAAGTAAAGTAATCTAGACAAGTCAGCCAGATCTTACTCCTTCATTTTCTGTATTATTGAATAAACACTGACATGTAAGGCAGCATTGTAGAAGTATGTAGCTTTTGTTATGACACACACAGTATTTTAAAATCTGTCATTAGACTGTGTTGCTGTAGCCAAATTATTCGGCTGGAGTTCAGGCCGCAGGTAGGCAGGGAGTCTCAGCCAACCATCTGCAACATGCTGACTTGACAGTGCTGCCACCTCCAGAGCATTATCCATTACTGCATGAAGGTACTCAGCTGCTAAATATTGCCAAACTGAAGGAAACCGGGGTATCAAATTGTGAATTCCAGAATGTGAACAGGAAATGGCCATATTCTGCCAAATGAGTAGCTTCCTCAGCTCAAGTTCCTCTGGACAGAACTAGGATGAAACATTTGTTAACTGGAAACAGGAGATATTCCAAAAGAATAAGCAGTATATTGGAGGAATAAAACTTAATAAGAAAAGCAGGGGGGTTTCAGGAAAGAGACAAAATCAAGGACTTCCCTTTTCTGAGATGGCATAAAGAAAAGAGCAGCATGCAACAAACAGGAAAACAAGGGTCTAGTAAGGCGGTCCAGATAATATTTATATAGTGGCTTTCATTTTTAATGTAATTGCACACATTCATCCTCTTCACCCCATAAAGTAGATAGGTAACTTGATCATACTGATGAAGAAACAGAGGCAAAGAGGTGAAGTGGCTTGCCCAGTTCAACAAAGAATCTGCATGAAAGCCAAGGTTAGAACTCCAGAGTTTCTGGTTCACAATTCTGTGCTTTCAGAAGTGAAAAAGAAATAAGAAGGAAGACTTCCTCTTACTGCTTGGAAAACCTGAATAAAATTTTAAAAACAAGTATAAAGACCCGTATCAGGTAGGAGGAGGGATATGAGAAATTTGCTTTAAAAAAAAAAAAAAAAATAGAGTTGAATAAGAAAATGAAACCAAGTGAGTAACCTTTAATTTTGTAAATGGGACTGGATTAAACCCACTGGCCATTGTGATGTTTATCATTTCTTTCTTTGCTGTCTCAGGATGAAAAAATCAAGAGGGAGATGGAGGAGATGCAAGGAATCTCAGAAGAATAAGGTTTTTTTTTTTTTTTTTTTTTTTTATATTAAGAGCCCAGTCCTCTGATAACTCTGGTGTGGACAGGACAAATTACAGTCTAAAGGATTTCACAATCTGGACAACCTTGGATTGGGCTTCGTGGGCAAACCACAGATCTTACAAAGAACAAACCAAACTGCAGTTTCAACAGCACTTCCCTGAGGAGTTAAATCTTGGCAGAGACTCACAGGACTAAACTCTAATTCTGTTCATCTGCCTGCCTGTTGCATCAGATATAGTCTAATGAATCAAGCGCTTGACCTGTTTAGTGCAGCAGCCATCAACTTGATTGGATTTTAGTTGTTTCCTCTATGCCTTTGATTTTCACATTCATCCACCTACACTTCCCAAGAAGTATTTATTGCTCAACTTCTATCGGGCGAGGACATAAACCTGTGAAGTTCAAGATGTGATGGGTTCCTGTGCTCTAATTAATAAAATGTCACAGGCATGGTTCTAGTGCGTTATGAAGGCTGGGAATCAACAGCCACCCTTAGCTATGCCTATATTTCTTTATAGTTAGTGACAACCATTGCTAATAGGCAGAGTGGAGAATGTCAATCTTTCCCTACTGCTGAGCTCTTTGATTGCTCATGGCTTTTTCAGCAAAGGTTTCTTCAGTTGAGAATCCAGGGTGGGCCTGGCAACCCACTTTCACTTTTACTACTTAAACAATATTAACATAGTCTGGAGTTACACATTGGACACTGGCATAGCTGATAAAATACAGGCCTGACATTTGTACAGAGGCTTCAACAAGGTACAGGGTAAAGCCATTGTGCTTGGTGTTTTATTTTCCATTGGTTCTAGCTGCCTGCTGTACTGAAGACAGTGAGGCATTCTTATTTTCCATTAAACCTATGGCTTGAAGTGGGCAGTGACATTAGATCATAAGAAAGGGCAATTACAAAGAAACCATAATACCAAAGGCAAGAGTTCTGCTCAGACCCTTCTCACCTCCCTCTGAAAACATCAGTGATGCCCAGAGCCCACTCCTGTTGTCTCTTTGCAAGTTCATCTGGCTAGTTAATGGTTTTAGTCATCAAGGTAAAACCAGCAATACTCATCAACATACGTCTAGAGATTAACATCATGGGACCAATGCATCTGCTTTCAGAGATGTTCTTCAGAAATAAGGACTTATGTTAAAGAAAGGTATCACTGCCATAAGAGACCAAGTGATAAAATCTTAAACTTGGAACACAAACTGGATTTTCTTCACTCACCAAAAATGCTAATCTTTTAATCCAAGTGGACGCTTTCAGATTCCTTAATTGTGAAAGTTCGATATCTTCTGCACTCATCTAAACCTTACCTACCTGATGTAAAGAAGTTTAGGAGTTGCAGAGACTGTTCATTATCTTTATGAAGCACTTGCTGCAGAAAGAGAGGAACCACATGGCAAAATTGACAGTTCAGCACAAATGCTTTCCACCTCATTCTGCTAGATAACAAATTCAAAGTATAATCAAAATGACACTTTGGGTTGGGAGGGGGTATCAAGCTAACCACTAATATTTGTTCCAGTCAGTTCCAAATAGCAGAAAGTTTTGGGTTGGTTTTTTTTCTCCTCTAACACTTTTTTTTTCCAGAGGACAACACAACTCACCTTGTTCTATGCACAGCAATTTCTCCCAGGAATCTAACTGGGCTTCCTCATACCTTTTTAAAAAAAAATTATTTTAGCTGGCAGCTATCTGTGTGTGGGCATTAAACACTTTATTACATGTTATAGAATATCATGTCTGATTTGCTGTAGAGTGGGATTACAAGACCAAACATTTAAGCTAATTACACACCATCTAATAGAAAATGAGATCTGATTGCCTTTCTTAACCACTTATACATATGTATTAGGGGGACATTTCTCGGTGGGGGTGGACCTTGGCTGAGTTTTCCCTGGTCCTGATAGGAATCAGAGCCTGACAATTCACCATCTTCTGTGGAGGAGGAATCAGAGGACTTCTAGATCTTTTAAGCTTTTGCTTCTCCTTTTTAGCGTTTGCTTTTTTATTTGCTTAGAGAGCGTACTAACTCCATCACAGCTCTAGTGAGGCCTTTTTGCAGCTAGCTTTCCCAAGGGCCTGAAGTCCCCTCTCAAGATTTTTGAGTCCTCGCCTGCTGGGTCGCATTCCCCCAGGGAGGGGAAATGCCTCCAGAGTCCTGACCAAATTGGGAAGCAGGGGGCTGTTTGAGCTCTGCTGCTTTTCCCAGGCTACTCAGGACCCATTTAAGATGGGGAGAGGGGGAGGGGATTCGTGATCCTGTAAGTCTCACTTCCCTGTTCTCCAGGCGTCCCATGGGCCTTATCCCCTAAGTCAGCTGATTGCGGTCCTCTTCATCCTGCCCAGAGACACCTGGTCCATTATTCCCGTGTTAGTTGCAGCTGCTCTGGTGGGTAGGATCCTCATGCCTGATTGACTCAGGGCAAGTCCCGAGGGGGACTGTCCCAGATCACAGCTGGAGCACCGTTTGGATATCATACTGTGCTTTTTTAGGCTTCTTTGTCATTCCTAAAAGGTGCTAAGGAGCTAGAAGGGAGGCGCTGCAGTGGAGGTTCTGGGTGGGTTCTAATACCGGAGTAAAAACTGGCCCGGGGAGAGGAGGGGGATTGGGAGAGAGAACACCGCTCACTGCTGCTTCCAAAAATTAGTTTTAAAAAAAACAAAACCCTTTTAGGCAGATAAAAGGCAGGAGCACTGAAGCTGCTGTCCACATGCTGCCATGAAGGCAGAGTCTGGGCAGAAGTGTAAGTTTTCAGCAAATCTCCAAATAGTTAAATGTTATGACAAATTCTAGAAGAGAAGACTTTAGAATTATTCAGGTTTTGAAAGCATGGACCCACCAAGAGAATATTTTAGTTCAGATGATGTCTACTTGTTTCTAAATAGACATGAGAATACAATTACAATTGGAAACTGCCAATTGAGCTGGTGAAGTGAGATTAATGAGCACCTAATTAACTGCCCCTTTCTCCATTCTACTCTCTGAGCATCCATTCTGGATGGATGGTATTTGAATATATGTGCAGTTGGGCCCCAGTCATGCTTCCACTCAAAACTGATGGCAAAACTCCTATTAAATAGGAGTAGGATTGGGTGACAAATCTGAGGAATTGTCACAGATTGAAGTGTCATTAGAGGAGGTTTTTGGAATGAATTGATAAACTTAACAGTAACAAGTCACCGGGACCAGATGGCATTCACCCAAGAGTTCTGAAAGAACTCAAATGTGAAATTGCGGAACTATTAACTATGGTTTGTAACCTGTCCTTTAAATCAGCTTCTGTACCCAGTGACTGGAAGATAGCTAATGTAACGCCAATATTTAAAAGGGCTCTACAGGTGATCCTGGCAATTACAGACCAGTAAGTCTAACGCCAGTACCGGGCAAATTAGTTGAAACAATAGTAAAGAATAAAATTGTCAGACACATAGAAGAACATAAGTTGTTTGGGAAAAGTCAACATGGTTTCTGTAAAGGGAAATCATGTCTTACTAATCTATTAGAGTTCTTTGAAGGGGCCAACAAACATGTGGACACGGGGGATCCAGTGGACATAGTGTATTTAGATTTCCAGAAAGCCTTTGACAAGGTCCCTCACCAAAGGCTCTTACGTAAATTAAGTTGTCATGGGATAAGAGGGAATATCCTTTCATGGATTGAGAACTGGTTAAAAGACCGGGAACAAAGGGTAGGAATAAATGGTAAATTTTCAGAATGGAGAGGGTCAGTCAGAATTTTCAGAATGTTCCCCAAGGATCAGTCCTAGGACCAATCCTATTCAACTTATTCATAAATGATCTGGAAAAAGGGGTAAACAGTGAGGTGGCAAAGTTTGCAGATGATACTAAACTGCTTAAGATAGTTAAGACCATAGCAGACTGTGAAGAACTTCAAAAAGATCTCACAAAACTAAGTGATTGGGCAACAAAATGACAAATGAAATTTAATGTGGATAAATGTAAAGTAATGCACACTGGAAAAAATAACCCCAACTATACATACAATATGATGGGGGCTAATTTAGCTACAACTAATCAGGAAAGAGATCTTGGAGTCATCGTGGATAGTTCTCTGAAGACGTCCACGCAGTGTGCAGTGGCAGTCAAAACAAACAGGATGTTAGGAATCATTAAAAAAGGGATAGAGAATAAGACGGAGAATATCTTATTGCCCTTATATAAATCCATGGTACACCCACATGCTCAAATAAATTTGTTAGTCTTTAAGGTGCCACAAGTACTCTTGTTCATCTTGAATACTGCGTACAGATGTGGTCTCATTTCAAAAAAGGTATACTTCTATGATTGTATGATTAGGGGTTTGGAACGGGTCCCATATGAGAAGAGATTAAAGAGGCTAGGACTTTTCTGCTTGGATAATAGGAGACGGGGGGGCGGGGGGGGGATATGATAGAGGTATATAAAATGAGTGGTGTGGAGAAAGTGAATAAGGAAAAGTTATTTACTTGTTCCCATAATATAAGAACTAGGGGCCACCAAATGAAATTAATGGGCAGCAGGTTTAAAACAAATAAAAGGAAGTTCTTCACACAGCGCACAGTCAACCTTGCCTGAGGAGGTTGTGAAGGCTAGGACTATAACAGGGTTTAAAAGAGAACTAGATAAATTCATGGAGGTTAAGTCCATTAATGGCTATTAGCCAGGATGGGTAAGGAATGGTGTCCTAGCCTCTGTTTGTCAGAGGGTGGAGATGGATGGCAGGAGAGGGAGATCACTTGATCATTACCTGTTAGGTTCACTCCCTCGGGGGCACCTGGCATTGGCCACTGTCAGCAGACAGGATACTGGGCTGGATGGACCTTTGGTCTGACTCAGTATGGCCATTCTTATGTTCTCTGTTATGTAGAATAGATCTTCAAGTAACCAAGGAGTAGATCAGTTCCTTGTATGCCTCTGTGATATGCTGTAGTTCATGAAGAGACTTGCACAAACGTAGCAGTGAGTTAAAGGTTAGGCAGGCAGGGATTGATGTTAATACCAAAATCTGAGAGGTTTTCTTTTCCTCCATTGGTTGAATATTGAGTTGGGTCTTGTGGGGTATTGGATAGAATGCCTTGAAAAAAGACATGTAAGGAATATTGGGCTGTGTGACTAAACTTATTTTAGCTTTGAGAAAGCTTAAATGTCTTCATTGAATGGGGAGAGGGCAGTAATGAAGTTAAGGTAAGGGGTGTTCTTTCCTCTTTTTGACATTTTAGTGGGATCTCTAGTTTTTAGATTACTTCAAATGATGAGTGGTGTCTTCTCTTTACCCCTTATTTCGTCCCTCCATTTTTTGTTTGTGAACATTTACTCTAGGCTTTCTATGTATTTCATTCCCTGTTTCAATTGCATTTGTTTCCTTTAAAAAAAAAAATTAATAATCTTGGGGTCTGGAATTCCATTTTAATTTAATTTTACCCATTGTGCTTTTTCATTGGGAACTTGAAGTTCAGGGCTGTGATATTCAGGTGCATGTACAAGGAAGATTTCCATTGGAAGCTCCACTTTTGGCTTAACAACTGGATGGAGACTTGAATTCAACAGAGACTATTTTCTAGTCAGATATGTTTGCTAGAAACTAGTTAATGTGGCTTTAAGAACACGAGGAAAGGAGATGGTAAAGTCTGCAGTTCTTTTCAAGCTCAAAGGCTCTATTTTTGCTGTTTCCATCCTGACCATCTTTCGCAATGATCCTTGGTATGCTATGCTGGGGATCAAATGAATATTTTTAAACATTCTAGCTTTCTGTGTTTCTTACTGGTTACGAATAAGAAATCTGATGGAGGAATGCAGTTTCAATTCTAATGAACAGCATAGCTTTCAGATTGATGTGGCGAATCATGGAAGTTTAATTAAAAACACACTCCTAACAGTGCTGTTTGGGATTTTTAGTTTAAGCAACTAAATTTTAAGTAGTCTTTTGAGAGGATAAACCTAAAATAATCTGACAGAGATTGGCTTTTATATGCATGCAGGGAAAGGCAGCAGGGTTTATTCCTCCTGTTAGAAAGGGGGATGCACTTTAACAGCCTCAGGTAAACACAGAGCTTATTTTGGGTTTCTTTGATTTTTACGTTTGCACATGTTTTACTGACCAGTCCTGGATGTTACTGTTAATTTCATGAAGTTGACTGCACCGTAAACATTCCAGGGCCATAAGAGACAGGAGATTTGGATGAGTAAAAGTTAATTGAAAGACACTTCACCCTGCTGACTTTGGAAGCCTTTTTCCAAGATTTATTACAGGAATCAGAGATGAGAATTATTTTTCCTGCAACTCGTCTTGTGTTATTTTTATGGCATATCTGTCTGTGGTTAATTAATATTCTGTTAAAGAATAACTGTGAAATTACCAAAATGCTTTTAACTTCACTGTGTTGTCTTGTTTGAAATAAAACACTTCAAGTGTCTAAGGAGAAAATTTCCCCTTTTTTAATTGTAGTGTTGGCACCTTATTCTTTACAGTAATGATTTAGGTAATTGAGCAAGTCCACTGACAGAAATACATCTTTCTATTAAAAAGTCATTGAATGCATATGCGTGCATAATACTGAAAATACCATAATGAACATAT